GCTGTGAATCTCAGAGCTTCATGCGGAGAAGCATCGTTCAAACACACACGTGCGTTCGTGTCTCCAGCATGCTCTGTGCCGCCGTTCAGTCACAGCGAGCGTGGCTGCCCGGTTGCCTGCACCTCGAGGTGCTCAGGCTCTCCCAGCAGGGATGCTGCAGTTTTCCAGGAAGCCGCTCTGTCAGTGGGTGGTGGTTACCATGGCGATGTGCCCAGTGTGACCCTAAAAAAACACAGTGGAGGCTCCTCAATAAGCCCCTGATCCTGCTCCACCACGCCGGCCTCTGAGACCCAGCACACACCACTCTGTCCCCTCGGTTTTCCAGCTCATGAGGAAAGACGTAGTTTTATTCTCATTTTTCAGTTTCCTTTCCTGTGATTGGCCAGCTTCAGCAGAAGGATCAGGGTTCAGGCTGAAGTCGCTCTTTCACCCACATGTTTGGCAGCTGTGAGGGGCCCTGGGTGAAGACAGTGAAAGTAAGAATTCATAAAAAGCACTTTCAATGAAAATAAATCATTTTAAAGCAGAACAAACACAAACAAATGGATCATATCTGATGTCTGCGCCACGACATCAGGATGTATTTGTGTTGTCGAGGGCGCTCTGACAGTACAAGTTTAAATACAGTGTCCACACACACCTGTGTGAGAGCTGTCAGGACTCTGGAAGCATGACCGATGCAGAGCGACCCGTCAGCGTGAAGCAAACATTACATCTGTGATTTCACACATCAGCAGTTTACCCTCCGTCTGTCTCACACACACACACACACACACACACACACACACACACACACACAGTGGTTATCATTCCCAGTGAAGAGAGACAGCAGGAACTAAAAAGGGAGGAGGGGGGCGATAATTGCTGAGCCTCCTTTGACTCTCAACAGCTCCCCTCCCACACCTGTTGAGTCCATCAACACACACACACACACACACACATAAACACACACAGCTTTGCAGGTGAGGCGGGGGAGGTGCTGTGGATATTTCAGGTATGCAGGACGCTTACAGAGTCAGCCTCCAGCTGCAGCTTCTCATGAATTTTTTCTCAGAATCGATGAAATCGTTTCCGTTTGAGTCTCTGAGGTCTCAGTTTTACCATTCATGCTTCTGCTGCCTGAGCATCAAACCCGGGCATCAGAAACTCTGTGTTCACCATAAGACAGTGTACTGATCTTACTGCAGGTTAATTATGAACTACAAACATAAAATAAAATGAGTCTGAAAGTTCGAGCTGAGTTGGAGCTGCTGTTTGTGCAGCAGTATCTCAGTTTGTTTCTGACGTGAATCTCGTTTCTGCAGCATCCGGCTCCAAGTCTGAGATCTCTGCAACACTGAGAGGACTAACATCGTAACGATCTCGTCTCCTGGCGCTCTGATGCTCCTCTGTGCAGTCACATAATCGTCCTGTTCACAGACTTTAAGCTTACGTGTGACTGCAGCAGGCAGCAGTTTGGATTGTGTGAGGAGCTGGATGTGTTTAACTCAGTTTAGCTTTCCTCCACTGGATCATTCACTTTTTCATTTTGCTGTCAGTTGGCATTAAACACGATCAGGTTTGTGAGAAGATCCTGGTCTGGGTTTAAATTCACACCTGATCACCATCCATCCATCCATCATCCAATAATCCATCCACCCATCCATCCATCCATCTATCCGTCCATCCATCCATCCATCCATCTATCCGTCCATCCATCCATCCATCCATCCATCCATCATCCATCCATCCATCATCCATTAATCCATCCATCCATCCATCTATCCATCCATCCATCCATCATCCATTAA